TATAATGAGTAATTTACATTAAATTCCGTACTTCAGAAAGGGGATGATAAATAAAATAGAGAAGGAAGAAGATCTAAAGAATAAATAAATTCTGACACTAGAGGAGATTAAAGATTTTAAAAAATTCCTTATAAAATTAAACCTTAAAACTAATATAATATTAAACTGATTTATTAACTACGTGTAGATACTTAGCTTATTCGTATACATTGATAATGTAGTTTATTTAACTGTGTAAGAAGTAGTGATACGTGCACTTTGACCTACCTGATCCACTCATTAAATACAGACGCAAGTGATTCTACAGAGGAAGCAGTTTTATCCCAAATACATTATAGGGAAAACATTTTGATTGCCCATTAAAGCAAGGCAATAAGTGCTGCAGAAAGAGAAATTTTACAACCCAGGAAAAGCTCCTACCAAGTGCTCTTTGAGCTCTAAATAATTTATCATTATTAACTATATGAACAATTTTGTATACTTTACACAGATCATGTAGCGTCAAAGTAGTTTGTGAATTTTCACAATCGAGAAGGCTAGACAGCAAAATGGCTTCAGGAACTTCAAGAGTACAACATTAACATGTGCAACATCTTGGACAGAACTATTGAAATGTTAATGCATTATCTTGAAGCACATGTGTAAATGAATAATGTAAACAGTGTGAAAAGATGGAAACACGAGATAGTATATCCAATCAACTTAAAGTTGAACAGAGTACAGTCAAAGATGTTACATCCACCAGTGATGATAAAAGAGCCAATGTGGTCCAATACTTAATTGAAAAATGCTCAAGCAAATGATGAGTTTGAAACGAATTATTCAGTGGATCCGGAACAGTTAAGAAAAACCCTCGTGGAAATAGTTACTCCATACAACAAAAAGATGTACTTGGCACAGAGGAATCCATCATGCCTACAATACAGTTTATGTCAGAAATGGGAAGAAACCAGAGGACAGAAACAATGACAACAGTTGGTACTTACACAGTTACTACATTCAGAAGTATATAATTTCCACAACCTTCCAAAAGCTGGACAGTTAGATGTTAAGATATTGGAAAGAGCAAGAAGATACTTCTATTGAGTTGGACGTTGGGGGTCTGTAGAGAAATGCTGTCGATATACTTCATCCGCGGCTACAGAGTAACAGTAGAAATAAATATATTAGGGAGGTGATGAAATATTTCAAACTGCCAAAAGTATATGATGTCCATCAACAGGAAGAAATAATTAACAAGAACATTCGTCGATAAATTTTGTTTTAAGATTTGAAATGCACATGGAACTTCACCAAGATCAGAGATAGAAAACTTGTTTTGAGAAATGTTTCAAATTTCTATAATAAAAAATGCTAAATAACCCTTCCACCATCTTTCGCTGCCACTATAAACTTTTAGGTCAATTAATCATTTATGTGGATAAACATCAGAAAATGTGGACCAAGATTTTCCACTGCTGTTTATGAGTTATCAAACAGCAGTGCACAAAATTATAGACAACACCATCATAATTGATGTTTGGGAGATAAATAAATATGTCATGTAACCTCTGCATTCACATCCAGAGAATAATTACTCAGGAGTCTTACACTGTACATACATAAAGACTAAGGAGCACCATTGAAGTCAGAGATGACTTACCGGGAAAAGACTTTATACCAGCTAGTTACTAATGTCGGTAACACTGGATTCTATCAAAATGACATGGTATGATTGTACTAAAAAATTAATGATGTGGTTTACAGTTTACACAATCCAGAAAAAGAGGCAGCCCGAGCCGAAAATCAGCCATCGTGATCATTTTTTGAAGTATTTAAGATGAAATGGTCAACTGAATAATTTCAGGGGAGAATTAACCAGTGGAAAATTAACCTGCACAGAGCTCATGGTTCCTGTTGAGACTAATTTCAGTGGATTTGTTCGACCACCTACTTGGGGAGTACTCCTCCAGTGAGAGGACAGTAAGTAACAGTAAGGGATAAAACGGTATACCATAACAACTCTAGTTAAAGAAAAACATATTTAGTGAAGGAACAGTTTAGTTGTTCAAGGGAATTTACAATCCGAGAAAGAGCCAACTTTGTAAGCCAGTTCAGTTCCAGTCAGTGAACTATTCATTTCTGTGATTCAATTAGTACGCTATACAGTGACTTAGCGTATTTGTTATTCAATGAAAAGTGAAGGGAAATTTGAAAAATTTATTTGTGAGTTAGGCATGCTATTAAAATATAAATTTCTGCCAACTACTATTTGTGAAGTTAGGCTTACAAATGAAAGTAGCCTGTAACTAACACCAAAAGGTAATAAACTAATTTATCATTACATGGACTGTCTTTGGCATTATTTTTGCCAAATTATCCAAAAGATCCCACCCAATGTTGCTCGAAAATGCTGATTTAATGGCATTTCGTGGTAAAGGGTAGTATAAAGAAAACATATATAGGGATATTGAAAAAAAATTGGTATGCATTTTGGAAGTTTTAAAGGTTATATAAATGTACAAAGTAAAATGGACAAACATGTTTTTATTTTTCACATCAACATCATTTTGCACACCAACTTCTCAGTCGGAGTCAGACTGACGACGGCATTTTACAGACATACACTATCCTACCAAAAGTCATGAGACACATCTCTGATTGCGGGAAAATTAATATGACGATGAAATATGCAAATAGCTTCACTTATAAAGGGGATCAGCGGTTGCTAGAAGTCATTTCGAACTTTTACACCGAACGATGAGTACATGGAAAGAGCTAAGAGTTTCAGAGGGGAAGGATAGTTGAATGTCATGAGGGAAAATGTCTGTATGTGCTATTGCGCAACAATTAAACATTCCCAGGTCAACAGTTGGCAACATGTTGAAAAAATGGAAGTCCACAGGTGACAATGAGCCCAAGAAACGACTAGGTAGGCGTAAAATACTGACTGACAGAAGCCGACACGCCTTGAGAAGGCTGGTTACCTCAACTCGCCGTCAGACTTTAGAGAATCTATGTTTGGAGATGCAAGCAGCCACAGGCAATCCTATAAGTGTTTCCACGACACGTCGAGAGCTGTATGCCATGAATTTTCACAGAAGAGCTACAGCCCACAAGCCGTTGATAACAAAAACAAATGCACGCCGAACCTGGACCGGGGATCAATGAAAATCGGTCCTGTGGAGCGACGAGTCACGCTACACGCTCTTCTAGTCTGGTGGACTTGTTTGGGTGTGGAGGATGCCTGGAGAACTCTTATTACCTAAGTGTGTTGTCCGAACAGTGAAGTTTGGAGGTGGTGGTATAGTTTGGGAGTGCTTCTCGTGGTATGGTCTAGGTCCACTGGTCACAGTGCATGGATCCATGAATGCCGAGCCCTACATTGATGTACTGAACGATTCTGTGTGTTCTACATTGTGGCAATTTTATGGCACCGGCCCTTGCACCTTCCAACATGATAACGCTCCATGTCACAAAGGATTGTGGATGCATGGTTTGAAGAGAATAACATTGGAACATTGCAGTGGTCAGTACAGAGCCCCGACCTCAACCTGATAGAACATCTTTGGAATAAACTGGAACGCAGAATTAAGGCAAGACTAGGACGGTCCTCTTCAGTAATGGAGCTTACTAATGTTTTAAAGGAGGAGTGGAGCACAATACCACCAGCTTTCTGCCAGAAATTAGTAGACAGTCTTCCACGACACATTTAAGCAGTCATTAAGGCTAAAGGCAGGACAACACGGTACTAACGGGCCAATACGCTATTTATTTCTTGGAATAAAGACATGTTTTATTCCTAACTACCCGTGTCCCATGACTTTTGGTAGGATAATGTATCTTGAGTACAAATACATTTGTAATACACCTGATATTTTGTGTACAGCAGACATAAATGTTACTGAAACTTTGCCACATTTCGTGTAGATACACACAGTAAAGTCGAAATTATAATAAACATTCCTTCAGTGCACTTTCAGTTAAAGAAAATGTTATAAATTGCTACAAATTTCCCATGCATTGGGAGTACATATATGTTGAACACTAATGTTTTCTACACATTCTAACTTTTATTATTGCTATGAGGTCATATAATCATACAAGTATGCTTCTTGAAGACTAAAGCACTTGTAGAGAGGAGTCATCAAATAAAGATTAATGCTAAATTTTAAATCCTTACCTCTTCAGCATAAGATCTTCCAATTCCTTCAGTAGCTCCAGTTATCACTGCAGATAGAAATGGGAAACAAAGTGTGAGCTTAAACCCTATAATGATTGAAATAACTACGAATTTCACCCTTCTATAACTAGTACAAATTATCTTTATTTGGGTATATTGCAGTAATTCTAAATTCTCATGCAGTTTCTGGATGTAGTTAATCACATCCGTATTAAACAAATGTTTTATGATCGTAAATGTGTTAATGCTTTTACACGGGCAAAGTGATGGCACACTACGAGACACACATTTGGCATATAATGCTGTTTGAATACAAAAAGGGAACAACGTCTCTGTAGCCACAAAGAATATCAAAGAAGTTTATGGAAATGTTTTGAACATTCGTAAATGTCAACGATGGCTCAGCAAATTTCGTCCAGGTTACTTTAGCCTGAAAACTGTGATGGCAGGGTCCGACATGTTGGAATTGATACTCTGAAGACGCTTGTTGAGTCTAACCCAAGGCAACACACTCGTGAAATGGCTCTGCAATTGCATGTATTTCATGAAACAATACGTAAACATCTAAGGAATACGGGAAAACTCCATAAAGAAGGTGTTTGGGTGCCTCACGAACTCTCCGATGATCATTGTTTCCAGCGTGTGAACGTAGCTTCGTCTCTTCTGGCGCGTAATACGCGTGAATCATTTATGGACAGAATTGTCAACGGTGATGAAAAATTGATTCTCTATGCGAATATTAAAGGCCAAAAAAACAATGCCTCAGTCCTAGACAAAAACCACTTTCAACCCCAAAACCTGGACTTCATCCGCAGAAAGTGATGCTTTACATTTGGTGGGATATCAAAGGAGTAATTAATTTCGAACTCCTCATTCCACAGCGAACTGTCAATGCAGAGATCTATAGTCAGCAACTGGAACGTTTAAATCAAGCCCTTCATCAGAAATGCCCTTCACTCGGAAAGGCGTTTTTTCTTCTCCACTACAATGCACGTCCACATGTAGCACGTTTGACGCAACACAAGATTACGGAGTTAGGTTGGGATGTTCTCCCCACCCACTATATTCTCCAGATACGCCACCATCAGATTACCATCTTTTTCGTTCGCTGTAACACCATCTTAATGTGAAACGTATGCAAATATGGAAGGTGTTAAAGAGGACCTCGAGACGTTTTTTGCTTCAAAGCCAAGTGATTTCTTTTATTCATGGAATTAACAATCTGATTGTAAGATGGAAAAGCATCATCGATAAGAATGGAGACTATTTCATTTAATTGATTTTTTGTTTTGATATAGAAGTTGTTCGGTTTTTTTTTTCATCTCAAAAAAGCGACATTAATTTCTTGATGGCCTAATATTTGCATGATGAAACTAATATACTTTGAATGTATAAAATTAAGTATTACCAGTACTTGTAAAAGCTTCTGTTATAAAACAATTTTTATTTCCTCTAGGTTACTTCTGACAACTGGCCGATGTCTACTTTTTTTTCAAAAGCACGTGTACAAGGCAATGAACCATAAAGAACAACGCTATAGGAAAGGCACTTTCAAGAAGTAATTTTACTTCAAGTTCAAATGCAAGCAGATAAAGAAATAGCTCTACTACTAGTAGTAATGTTGGTACACAGTTGTGTCTACAACAAGTCATCATCAGAGACCTGCTCTTGCTGGATGTGGTCTTCTATTCCAAAACAAAAGCACGAGACAATGAATCACGTGTTGAAAAGCCCACAACACAGAATGGACTTCATAATAAAAATAGTATTTGTATTTCGCTTTCTCCAATACTGTTTTGTGTATTTTTGTAGTTATTTCAGTCCTGTTTCAAAACATTATTCCAAAGCAAAACAACAACAAAACAATATTTAATATGGAAATATTTGATTCTCGTGATTTCATGCCACAAAATATTTTTGTCTTGCATTAAAAGTGGGTTTTAGCGTACAATAGGCCAGTCACCATTTCAATATATATATATTACTATAACTAATTTCCAGATAGAAATACTTAAGATGTATCAAAACATTATTAATTATTTTGACAGTACCACTTCAAACTATATTCATTATTGGCGTATTTATTTCACGGCGATACGATCTGACAAACGAGTAATGCAGGTTTTAGGAGAACAAAATTATTTTGGCAAAATGATGTATCAAATTGTGAATATATAATTTATACGTTCAGGGACTTCGGAAAGCTAAAGTTTTTTATAACTTATTTGTGGTAAGAAACACCTAAAACAGATTTATGGAACGACTAGCAAGAACCACAGTAGCTACTTCAATAGTGTAAATTCTATTATAATTTGAGAGAAGTTTGTGTTATTTTTGTCCTCTAATTCCTCCTAAGCTTTTGCATTTAATTTGTTAACTATGGTTTAATCAACTAGGAATAATTAGGGATATGTCAAAAAGTTATTTGTTTTTTAAAATAAATAATTTCATAACGTTAGAGCTGGCTAAATATAGAAAATTCAGTGGGGGTGGCCGCTAGGGGTACCGATAGGATTCCTCCAGTTTCCTCTTTCATTAAATGTGGTATGCATACAGTCTAATAAGCCAAAATGGATGGCCGAAATAATTTCCTTGATCAATGACATTGCTCAGATAAGAAAGATTCTCTAACTATTAGGAGGAGGTTATCTGCATGACCAAACAAGTAGACTGGGATTTCGAATGACATACATCCCAGTTCCGTTGCCAGAGGTATTGTACTTTACTGTAAATCGAAAATATGACCCCTTTAAAATTACCTGACTGTAGTATGATTTAATTATATGCTAAATCCAAACCTGCTAGTTAGTCGAAAAAAAAACCCGTAAACAAAACAATTCAAAATGATAATAAGATTCTGCTTTTTAACATTGTTGATAAACCAAAAGTTATGTACTCTCGAGACCAACATTTACTGTACGATGAGCTCACTCTCAAATTAATTATACAATTGAGATTAGCTTTCATGATGCATTTTTTTAAAATTGAGAACAGTTTGTTGTTATGACTTTAGGAAAAACAAAATATTAATATTATCACAGAGGCTCCCAACATTTCTCAAAAATGAAAGTGACTCTCGACATTATAGCCGTAGATTGAAAGTCATGTATCTATCACAGTATCAGCTTTGACAGACAAAACTTTTATCATACATACCTGAAAAGAAATGTTTGTGTAATTACTTAAGACATTTGTCAATATTTTAATCCATGTGTCTAGAAATACCTAAGGTTTTCGTTTTTTTTATTGCTTAGATGATCCTGGATTAAAAATTAATGGTATATTTTCAGAGGAACAGAAACAAATTTCGAATTATTTGATTTTACAAAGAAGTTGTGCCTACTAGTCAGTTGCTATAAGAGCTGCAAGTAAGATTCTGGTTGACTTGAAAAATACCTCTGGATTTAAGACTGAAATATTCAAAATATTTAGATTGGAAATAACGCAGAACTAACAAACTGCCTGCCGACAGCCGACGTTCGATGACCAATATTGGGATTTTATGAAACTATTCCTATTAGTTTTAGGGAAACTTTAAAATAAAGATCAAAGTGCAATTAATTTGTGAAATATTGAATATCAAAACAAATCAGTGAAAAAGCGTGAATTAAGCTTGCATTCATTTCACTGGTTCTATAAACCTTATAAATCAAACATTTATATTAGAAATACAACATGCACTGAAAGAACTAATTATTTTACAGTTCGTTAAGAAGACTGATGATTACTAAATAAAATAAAACTTAAGCCTACAAAAAAATAACTTAAAAAAGGAGAATAAGATCATACGGGCTTGTTTTATTTAAAAAAAAGAATATATTCTCATCAAGTTTGGGTACAATTATTCTTGACATGTTACAACTTACAGTGAGTTCACACTTCAGTTAAGAAACCTCCCGTTGTACGAGATCTTAAAATGTCATTCGAGTACTGTTTATTTCGCACCGTTGTTGTGATGGGAAAAACGAAATTCTTATTTTCTCTTTGCGGATTATCCAATCACGTTAACAAAAAAACTTATAAATTAACTAAAAATGTAAGATATTATGTGCATATGAGAAAAAAATCCCTTGTTTGTATTTTAGTATTAAGTTGAATTTCATTTAGTTGAATATAGTTAGAAATATTAAATTTAAAATAGGTTGAATTTTTAATTAAAACAAAACAAAACTGGTAACTAATATAATCACAGAGTAATGTGTGGAAGTTAAAAATAATAGCTGTTTAATAGAAAACAAAAGAATTAAACAATTTAAAACGCATTAATTAAAAACTAATGTTTTTTACGATAACGATGATGACCTAGTTAAATGTACATTATACTCTGGGCCGGTTCTATGCAGGTCCGAAGGGCTCAAACTTAAAGAACCCACAATAAACTTTTAGGAGCGCAAAAATTATAGAAATTTAGAAAAAATACTAACAAGCAAAGAGAACATTGATATTTGTGGTGAAAATTTGTTTGCCCGTTAGTTTTGCGAGTAGAGAACGATCGTTTTCGAGACTAAAGTTGATAAAAACATTTTTGCGTTCCACAATGGTACAAGAGAGATTAAATGGTCTAGCAATAATTTTTATAGAGAATAAAACTTCCAGAGAAATTGATATGGAAATATTAAGGAAAAGATTTCCATGTTAAAAACTCGTTAAGTTCCATTTTCTAAAAACTAATCTTTGTTGTTAACTTGTTTTTATACTAGGTTTCATTTTTGTACGCTGTATTTTGGATTTAATATATATATTTGAAATGTTGTAAAGTACAGAAAAATAAGTAAGAAATGTAGCTATGAAAACTTGTAAAAGGGCGCTTTTTTTCGAAACCTTCAATTTTTGAACTTGAGCCGGTACTGACCATGCTTACACATACCTTGTCTGCAAACTTACCTGCCCATCGTCCTACTTTGCTCCAGTTCACTGACATTCCAAGTTTGGGGCCAAGAAAACAGATGTAAATAGCTTTACAAATCCAAAGTAAAATTTTTAACGAAATGTATACTGAGTAGGTTAATCCAACTAAAGCGAGAATTGAAACGCTTGAAAATTCGTATCCATTATTCCACGTTTGCTTTCCTTCACACATTTTATTAGAATATAGTTATATTCCGAAAACTCAGAAACCAACTTTCACGGTCCGACTGAGAAAAAAACAACAACTGATTATTATGTGTGTGAATCTGTATAAGTATGAAATCGATCACGTGATTGTAGTGCATGATTTAAAGCAAATACGCCCTCTTGGCATTTCTTTTGTTTTTACTAAACTTGATTAAGAAAGAGTTTTCACGAACCAGTTATGATGTATACACTTATTTCTTATAGCTTTGTCTTCCTCTAGATATCACTAGTGGGGAATTCTGAAAAATTAAACCAACTTTGTCTGTGAATAACCTCAAGCCAATGTAGTCTGTTTATGGGCACAGTTTTTTCTGGATCAGCTTTAAACCAAATTGTATGTTTAGGAGTTAATTTCTCTAAATAAATTACGAGACTTGATTATTACCTACCTAGCAACAATTAAATCACGTCAATATGACATATAAAGTGATTGCAGTTAAATGAAGAATATTAAAATTATCTTAAAATATATGCTTATTGTAATTTGGGTCCTGGTGGCAATTTTACGAAACTTTACCCAGTTAGTTTATTGACTAAAAAGTAGGGCCCGGCATGGCCAGGTGGTTAGGGCACTCGACTCTGTGGGTCGCGGGTTCGAATCCTCGTTACACCAAACATGCTCGTCTTTTCAGCCGTGGGCGCGTTATAATGTGACGGTAATCCACTATTTGTTGGTAAAAGAGTAGCCCAAGAGTTGGCGGGGGTTGGTGATGACTAGCTGCCTTCCCTCTAGTCTTACACTGCTAAATTAGGGATGGCTAGCATAGTTAGCCCTCGTGTAGCTTTGCGCGAAATCCATAACAAACAAACAAACTAAAAAATACAATAGATCTTATCAGATGTTAAAATTTCAAAGTATATTTAATCGTATTTCTTTAAGATTATACACCCCTTTTTATAATATATATTGTAACGAATGTTATTATAATATTTATTTTAATATCGACGTTGTTTAGATTAAGTTTCTATTTAAAAAACATGCATAGCTTGTACTGTTAGGTATGTATTGCGAAACACCTGCCTATCTTCCAAAGTTGTAGAAGATTCTTGAGAGTAAAAATCAACAATATATGTGTGTAAGTAAACGCTTAAATGTAGTTCATTATTGTTACGTAATATGAATTTTCTAGAACGCCTCCACGCGGCTATAAATATAACAAACGTGACGCGCCAAAAGGGGAGTATCTATTATTAGTTTGCTACAGTCAGTGTGTTATAAACTTCGTAAGCTATAACTGTGATTGTTATAATGCTTATCAATCGGAAAACTTAAGATATTTGACCAGGAGCATTTACAAAATTCGAACAACTCATTTAACTTCAGTGGCTTCACATCGGACAATAATACTTTTACGAAAACATTACCAAACGTTATCGGCGAAAACTCAATCTCTAATAGGATATGATCAGCGAGAACTACAGGGCTAGGTAGCTCCCTGTTAATGAATTGTGCGTACGTCAACTCGAAATTAACTCGCTCATCGTGAACCCTCGATAAGATATTAAGGAAGTTCCAGATTGCTTGTAAATTTTTGAAACTTTTCTTTATAAATCATTGTTTGTAATAACTATTTATAATAACTGTTATTGTAAATTGTATTGTTGTGTGTATATTAAAACGTATTTGTGTTAAAAAAGAAAACTGTGTGTATCCTCTTGTTGGCAAATATCATAAACTAACTATATATCGGCTTTTACTTAACTACTAAACCCAAAGTACAATTTAACTACTGAATTTAAATTTATATTTATAATTTAATTCATATCTAGTAATCTTCCTTTCGTTTCATGGAGTTCGTTGATCCTTTGGGGCATCGTGAGAATCATTTCGTCAATTTTAGATTGTGGGATTTTCGCCCACTCTTGCTTCAAAACTTGGAGTAGATCGCTCTTCGAAGTTGGTTTTTTTGGTTGTTTTTTGACTTGCCGGTCGAGTATGGCCCAGAGGTTTCCGATGGGGTTCATGTCAGGAGATTGGCTCGGCCAGGGCAACTTCTGGATACCATTTTCTTCCTGCCACATTTGGATGTTTCTAGCAGTGTGACACGGTGCTCCATCTTCCTGGAACAACGTTGTGTTCTTATCCACGAAACCCGAGGAATAAAGTGGCAAGAGTCCTTCCTCTAACATTTCGACGTATTTCGCAAAATTTATGTTGCCAACGCACTCCACTAAGCTCGACCTCCCATCAACCCAAACAGCTCCCCAAACCATCACGCTTCACAGTTGGCTGCAATCTGTTGAGCCAAAACTCTTGATGAGGCATTCTCCAGAT